AATTGGAATTCAAAGGCTTGTTTTAAAGATGAAGTTGCCATCTTTCCAATGGTATACTTGTTGGATCCAGAAGATGTCAATAAGATTATTTTCCACAGCCTCAAATTTGCTACCTCAAAACTGGAAAACTGTCAGAAAATGGTTAAGTCTGAAAACTGTTTTGTGAAGCCAACTTTGGAGCTTAATTCGAGGAGTATGGATCTGATTCAAGTCCAAAGGCTTCCACAACATGAAACTAGATATGTTTGTGTACAAAGGGAAGGAATTGGATGAAGGTTTGGGGTTCTGGAAGGCCTCGAATGAAAGGCGCGAAGTTAGTACAAAAGCTGTATTTTGACTGTTTTGCTGGCAGCTTACTTGTGCTTCAAGAAAGGAAGTTTAAACCCGAATTTTGTCCTTTTTAGAGTATATTTTTACCATAATTGTTTCCTAGTTCTATTAGGTTTGTATTAGGTTTATTTGCCTTTAAATACCTTCTATTTTCTTTGTAAAACATAGAGTTGATTGAATTGAATAACAAACCGAGTGTTTGAGTTCTTGAGTTGCGTCTCGAGAGTTTACCCATTGTCATTAGCTACGAGTGGATTCCTTAGCTAATTAAAAGACCCCTGTGAAGCTATTCTGAGTGGATTCCAGAATCGTTTAGCAAGTTCTCTTATCAATCGATTAATCACCTCGATTGTCGATAGTTTATTTTGCTGTGTATTCTGATCAAAAGCACCCCCTAGTGTTTTATTACAACTGAAAGGAAATTCGCTGGTTTTATGGGGGTAAAAGCCAGTAGTAACCCAGCGGACCCGCCTTAGTCCTGGGCGCCATCGCTGGGTACAATTTCCCACTAACTCGCCTCATTCTCTGGCGCCGCCGCTGGTCAACCTTTTTGGACATTCTGAAAAACCTTTGGGAATGGCGGTACCGCCTTAGTCTTGGGCGCCCCCGCTCTCACCTTAATCAAATTGATTCAAAAAAACAGAAATAGCGACAGCGCTTGAGTGTCGGGTAGTCTCGCCGATTTTGCTCTCCAAAACACAATAACTATGTCAATACTTTTTAAACCGCCATATTGATGGTAAATTAAAAAAAAGACGATATTTATGGAATTTATCCGTGGTGTGACTAAACTTCAATACAAACAATTGACCAAAGAAGATATGAACCATCAATTAAAGAGATTAACTAATTATTTCAACTATTAAAAAAAGTAGCTTGAAAATTGTTCAAAATTTATCGAAATGTTCGTATCAACAATGCAGTCAAATCACCAATTCACGTAGAAATATTTTGGCATCTATAAGAGTAAAAATATAAGCTTTGAAGCCTTAAAATGTAGATTTTGACTACACTTGTAAGTGAAAAGTGTGATTACATGTAGAATCATTTTAAATTTTTAAGTTTTAAAACAAGATTTTGACTACATTGCGTATCAAATTATCATGAATAAATATATAAAATTTAAATTTAAAAATGTAAATTTAACTATTTGTAAGTTAGAATTATTAAATTTGATATGATATCGACTAGCGCGATATTTAACTAGTTCGAGGGTTCTCTTCGGATTTGGATCACATCAAAACCAAAAATATAAATTAAAGTCTCTAATTTGCTGCGATTTCTATTTTGAAGAAGAGTAACATACCGTTTGGTACCAAATGAATCGAGAATTCATTTCATTGTAAAATGAATTACCGTGTAGAATTCATTGTCAAATGAAATCTTGTATTTGGTATGTCATATTCTAATATAGAAATAAAATGAATTATCGTGTAGAATTCATTGTCAAATGAATTCCTATGTTTCATATATCATATGCATAAGTAATTTAATTAATAAAAGAAGATAATTATATCATTCTATTATAATTAGTAACTACTTGTGGAATTCATTTGGAAATTCCATCTCAATTCCTCAGAATTGCTATAACTAGTTCCAATTCCACGGAATTTAAAATTTAGAATTGAAAATGATTTCTTTTAAATACCAAACACAAAAACTTTTCATTTCAAAATGAATTCCGCAAAACTTATGGAATTCATTTATACCAAACGGTATGTAAAAGACAATTTTAACATTAAACCTAGGGGTGTGCACGTGGGTGGTTAATTCGCGGATTGATATCGATCCACCCGCAAAAAACCCGACCCGCACGCAATGGGTGATTGATGTGGGTCGATTGCAGATTGATAAATCTTCCACCAGCACTTATATGGTTTGGTGGTGGGTGGATCGTGTGTCACCCGTATGACCCGCATCCTATTTTTACATGAAAAAATGTTGTTTCTTATAGTATCGAATATTCATCATATTTTCGAAATTCGAACTACACAACAGTCTAGCCATATGGCTAAATTACACGTTTGGTCACTCAAATTATACAAATCTTTCACGTTTGCCACCCGAATTACTTTTCTTTCTTATTCGCCACTAACTTTACGAATCGTTTCACGGTTGGTCACCGCCCGTTACACTTCGTTAAGTTTGTCCTACGTGGCAGTCAACTATAAAGTTTGACCGTTAACTAGATGTTGTGGAAATTAAAAAAAAAAAAAATTTCTTTCCACCTCATCATTCCACTTATTTTGTCTATATAATTTATTATATTAATAATTTAATAAAATTTAATAAATTACAAAAATGGGATGACGGCGGTGGAGAAGGGAGATTCTACGGCGGTGATGATGACGCCTTCTGGAGGCTTTCCTTCGGGGACAAATTCCAAGCTTATGGTGACAAGAAGTACGTCTAAGACGACACCAGTGACAAGTTTCCGCCGTCGAGTTGCCGGAGCAGCTGCACTAGATCAAACAGAGTAGGAACGAGAACAGGGGAGGAGGAGGAAGTTGGAAATTTCGCGTTTTTTGCCGGCCGAGGGTACGAGAGAGACGGCTGTGGAAATCAGGACTCCAAGGCTGAGATTGGCGAGCACGGAGAAGAAAGCGAGGAGATTGAATTCGATATGGCAGCTGGGCTCAGAAGAAGTTGTTGAAGCGAAGAAAAAACAGGGGAGGAATGCAGAGGCAGAGAGCCCAGAATTCAAGAAGCAGGCGGCGGTTTCAGAATTAGAAGGCGCCGCGTGGGATTCATCCACAAAGGCGGGAAATTTCGAGCTTGCGACGGAGATTCTCTCGTCGACCGAGTGGGGCAAAGTGAAAGATACGAGTTAGGTCACCCAGTTCGTGTAATTAAGGCCGACGAACCCGCTCCAAACCGCTTAAACGCGAATTTAAATCAGTTCGCCAAAAAATCGCGAATTTTATTTTATCAGAGCGTGATTTAAGGAAATCAGAAACGCGAATTAGAGTTTCCCCTCGTTTCTCTTCCGATGAAGAGTTTTCTTCATCAGCTCTACATATGTTTCTGGTTCGTACCTTCAATTAGGTTTTCAATAGATGAAATCGAGTTCCATGGATTCCCTTCATGCACCTATAGAAGCGATGGAAAAGAGAAGAAGGCGGAGGAGAAAAGAGGAAGAACGTCAACCCCCGTCGTCGCGACGATTCAAGCTCTCTTCAATAAACTCTACCTCGGAGGTATCGTGGTTCTGATCCCGGCAACGATCACTGATGATGGATGGAAAATTCCCAGATCTGAGTTTGAAAAGACAAAACTGCAAGGAGATGAGCTGGGCGAGATCGATCGATCCTCTACTTCGTCGGATTCTGACTGGATGCCTTGTTGCTGGGCTTGATGGAGAGGACGATTTCCTCGAGGTTACAAGGAGAGTGGCTGAGAACAGAGAGGCATTTATTAATTTATTTCTTAATTTGGGTGGGTTGACGAGGCCTGATGTAGAGGACATTATAAGTTATAACTGTTTTTTATTATTGTCGTTATAATATTAATAGTTTAATAAGTATATGAGTTTATTTTTCTCGGAATTGAATTGACAGTGGTATAGTTTAAGTAATATTTGTATGCCTTTTTTTTATGAATTATGTGAATGTTCACAACTCACTTTAATTTTTAGGTGTCAATTGTAATAGTATTGCTCATATTTATTTAATAATTTAAAAATAATAATAGTTTATTATTTAAAATAATATAATATTAACGCTTTGTTCACACTTTCAATACTGAATTCTTAAAAAACTGACGCTCTCACGCTCCTGTTCCCGCTCCCTTTCCACATTCTGGTTACCTAAGATACGAGGAAGTCTCTGCACATAAGCGGCGAGCCGATGCGGAGAAAACAGAGCAAGCAAGCTGCAGGGAAAGTCGAGTGGGGCAAGGATGATGAGCATTTGGATTTGCCCATTTTTGTAATTTATTAAATTTTATTAAATTATTAATATGATAAATTATATAGACAAAATAAGTGCAATGATGAGGTGGAAAAAATTTATTATTTTTTTTTAATTTCCACGTCATCTAGTTAACGGTCAAACTTTATAGTTGACTGCCACGTAGGAAAACTTAACGGAGTGTAACGGCCGGTGACCAACCGTGAAACGATTCGTAAAGTTAGTGGCGAATAAGAAAGAAAAGTAATTCGGATGGCAAATGTGAAAGATTTGTATAATTTGAGTAAGCAAACGTGTAATTTAGCCCTAGCCATACACTTCAAAAGGTAGAGAATAAAGAACAGTTTTGACTACTATTATTGGCTATTGTGTTGTGCAATATTCACTAGATATTGGATATTGGTATGACAATTATTGTTAATATCCATTAAATATTGGAATGCAAAGAATAATTATTAATTTTATCAAAATCACAAATTATTGATACGATCTTACTAATTTGCTATGAACTTATTATAAATGTTAGTCAACTTTCTTAATAGCTAGTGGGAGAATTACTTTTGCGAGTTGACCCTCGACCCAGTCACACACATTCGTCACCCACCCAAACCAACCCGCAAAATTATATGAGTGGATTGCGAGTCACAATTATTCCAACTCGCTAGTAAGTGAATGGATTAATTTGAGACCAAACCCACCCAACCCGGTCATTTCCCGCTCCTAATTAAACCCCTTATTTTTGTCCATGTTGCATCCTCGTTACTTATCCGCGCCTTACGCTTCTCTCTCCCTCCAAAACCGTTTTTCCGAATCCCTCACAAACTTCAAAATTTCCCCTCTCCGCTCTCTTCCCACTCTAGGGTTTCTGCTCTGTTCTCCCTCGTGGCCTCGTCCCACCTTCGCAAATGGCAAGGTACCGGAGCCGCAGCCGGAGCTACAGCCCCCGCCGCCCTCGCAGCAGGACTCCTCCTCGACTGCGAAAGCGGTACGACGACGATGGCAGCGACGACGAGCCTCGCGATCGTTATCGCGACAGCCGCTCCCGCAGAGACCGACGCTCCCCTCTTCCTTCTGGTTTGCTCGTCCGCAACCTCCCTCTCACCGCTAGGTACTAAAACTTCTTCTATTCTCTCTTATCTGCATTCTCTCGCGCTCGCGCACTTGTTTGAGTGCGTTTGTGATAGTTTAGAGCTACATTTTGGGGTTTACTTTCTTAGCTGGCCTGTGAATTTGATGACCTAGTTACATGAGAGTCTTCATGTTTGGTTCTAGGTTGAATTAGGTTTCGGTTGAGCATGTATTGGTATAAATTTCAGCCAAGACTCGCTGCCTATGTCATATTGATTGATCATTGCCCCTGGGCTGCTTGATGTCTGTTGTTTGGCACGACTGGATTTATTTTGAAGTTGATATTTTAAGTATTTCCTCATCTGAAATGCGAAGTTTAAGATTGGCATGCTATTTTACGGCAGCGTTGAAGATCTTAGGATCCCGTTTCAGAAGTATGGCCCTGTGAAGGATGTCTATCTGCCTAAGAATTACTATACTGGGTATGCTTTCTCTTCCATTGTTCATCTCTTCTTATAATTTATTTCACTCTCTGTGATAACAATCTTGATTAATATATATACCTATAATAGCTGCGGATTACTTTTTCATATGCTAACCTATGAAATCTTCTCAATGACATAATATAGTTATGTGGTTGATCTTTCATTCTCAGTACGAAGTGTTTGTGGTTTGTAATTCGTGCATTATCTAACGATGTACTACGCAAGCAGGGAGCCTCGAGGTTTTGGGTTTGTGAAGTTCCGTCATGGTGAGGATGCTGCGATAGCAAAGGAAAGGCTGAATCATAAAGTTATTGGTGGACGGGAGATTCGTATTGTTTTTGCTGAGGAAAACAGGAAAACTCCTCAAGAGATGTCTTCAACTGGTGGTCGTACAAGGTGACTTATTTCCTGAATGGTTCACCTTTCATGAACGTTTTTAAACTATCCACGTCTCTCAAGTCTGCATTATTGGTTGGTATATTAATTCCAGCAGTCGACATGGAGGCGGCAGTAGACGTAGATCACCACCAAGGTCTCCAAGACGCAGATTCCGATGTCAGTCAAAAATCACATCTATTTATGTGTGTTTCAGAATAATTTTTTTTTGGGTATTCTGGCGTATTATTGAAATGCTTGACGTGATGTGAAGACGTTAAAAAGAAGAGGGTTTTCTGACATAATAAACTTCATTTCCAGCTTCATCACGTTCTGCCTCCCCACCTAGGAGAGACTCGAGGTTTGGATCCCTTAGCTTCCATGTTACTTTTCCGTTTTATTTATTATGAGATTCTGTGTACGCTCGTTTCTTTGTGGTTGTCACTACCCTTCTTGCTTAGTTTGTCATTCATACATGTGTAACATTCTTTTGATGAGGTCTGATGTCTGAGGCATTCATGTAATGCAATAGTCTCATTGTATTAATCCACGGGATTTATCTTGCTTGTTGCTAATGTGATCATATAATCACTGAAAGGAGAGTAATATGATTGAGTGGGATTCATATTTACCCCATCCATATCTTGGTGGTAGATGCGGCAGCAAACGTGCACTTGGTTCTTCATTGCTGTAGTAGAGCTAGATTATTAAACTTAGAGAACCTAAAGTACCGAGCTGATTTATATGGGGTTATGCTGTTTGTAGATGTGATAATTTTATCATTTAAATAATTAAATTACTGTTTATGATCAATATCTTGAATGGCGTGCCCTATGTTATTCCTTCTCTTTCCATCACTAATGTACTATGGCTAGTGCTCTTTCTATTTTTGTTCTTGTTTGTTGCAATTCTGCTTTAAATACTTACCTAGAGCTGTATAAACTTAATGGAAGCCTTGCAATTTGGAAACGGAACTGTCACTCCCAAATCTTTACTGGAAATTTTAAATTCAGAGTTCCCTTCCTGTAGATCTTTAATTGAAAGACCCTTGCTAAGTGTTTCGAAGTTAACCCCTGCATCAGCTATTGTCTGCAAAATACTGTTGGCGCACTCGTTCTTTGGTTTTCGAGGCTTGCTACTGTTCAATGACCTGACTGGCTAAATGCCGTACAGAGAGAAGGCTAAGATCATGGAAGTATTTGCCCTTTCATTTGTCTTATTTTCCTGTTCACTCAAGTTATACACTTGCTATCTATGAAAGACAATTGTTGAGTTTGATTGCTGTTTTGCATATACGATCCAGTTAGGAAAAGAATATAAAGCTTATAGTTGGCACAAAGAGTAATCATCATCTTCAAAGAGGGAAAGCTAGTCCAAAGGTTTTACTGGTAGAGAGATGTCATGGCAATGTCCCAGAAAACAAAAGATAAATTGATTTCTTAGGATGTTGGGGCTAAGAGATTGAGAACTGTGAAGTTAGCAAGATGCTGATCCGGCCAGTACAATCCTTATAGAGTTCAGCTCTCAAAGTGTTTGGATCAAGTCTCATTATTTGTACAGGAATCCTGAAATGGTAGCAGGTAACAAGTCATATTTTGCTTAATTGGATTTCAATGAGGTCTCAAGTTGACATTATTTTATATATAATTTGCCTCGATTTCAATTACAGTGCAATCTAGAATTGCCTTTGTTTATCAGTACTGCTGACTGAAGAAGGTTGGCTCCATTTTTATTTGAATGTTCAAACTTGATGTGTTATCTATAAAAAACATTACTTATTTCAGTTTCTTTCAAGAACTTGTTTTGTATTATCCAATTTTTGTTTCTGAAGCAGGGATAGCAGAGTGAAGGATGACCACCGGTCTTCAAGAAGATCTAGATCACTCTCTAGATCATACTCTCCACAAGATGAAGCGAGAGAGTACAAGTCTAAGAGGAGATCTCCGAGTCCAGTTTGTAACGGTCATATTCCTCGAGAAGCACAGGATCATGCCTCTGGCAGATCGATGAGTCCTGGGGATAATGGACGCAGCCCGCTGTCTCGTTCAAGGTCATATGAGTGAGTCCCCTTGTAGCCTGCTCGTACCATGGACGACTATAAACTCTTCTTTTGCTATTCGAGAAAGTTCTTTTGTATGCCGATCGTTTGTCACGTTCTTTAATTGCAGCTAATGTGCACGTGCCTAATCGCAATCCTCTCGTCGCCTGATCTTCTGTGCACTGCTCTGTTGGATGCTTGATGACTGATGTGAGTCTGTGAGCCTTAGATGTAATCAACGTTTTCTTCCATTCTCCCAGCGTTTATTTTCTCCCCCTCCCTTACTGTCTTTAGGTCTAGTTTCGTTAGACTGAATAGTACTCTTTTGATGCCAGTGGATGATGTAATCTCTCTTTTTTTATTCTTTTTTAACATTTTGACTTTGTACAAATTTGTAGTTTGATAAACATGAGGAGATTCAGCATATGCTGTCAGTTGGTTGTTTGCACTTTCCATCTAGTTTTTGTTTGTAGAGGTTTTCTTTAGAAGATAACTCTCTAGTTGAAAAATGATATGATACAACCGCGATCTCGTTTGAATGTAGTAGATAATAGCGGAGCTCGATAATTGAGTTGCATGAACAGTCATATTCTGTAAAGCATGTATCAGAGATCAGACAGGATCGGTGGCAGAACAAGCTCCGTTGACTTTCTCCGACGGGAGAGTTACAGTACTGATCGGGAGATATGTAGTATTGAGGACTAGCCGAGATTTTTACCTTGATGATGATGGGGCTTGAATATATGAATACTAAGGGGTCGTTTGGATGCAGTAAAATAATGAGGGAATTGGACTAAATTCCCACACAATATAGTAATTGGACTAGATTACTATGTTTGGATGGGCCAAGTAGGGATGGCAATGGGTCGGGTTGGGGTGGGTTTTGTCAAACCCAAATCCATGGGTTTATCCGCCAAAAAAATCCGGGGTAAAATTCGTTAGGTTTGAAAAACTCAAATCCAACCCAACCCACTGGGTATCCGTGGGTTTTTGTGTTAAAAAATTTACAATAACAAATTTCTTTCAAAATAAAAGTTTAACATCAATTTTCTCATACAAATTATTCATACAAAGAACACCAATCTAGAACATACAAGCAAACCGAAAATGATCAATACAAATTGTTCAAAATTAAAGATAAACATCTATAAACAACAAGATTAATTGAAATATTCTTCCTCGTCAAATAAGTTTCTTCACTCTCCACTCCATAATATCAACTTCATTCCAAACAATTAGAAAGAACAAATTATACATGTCTCCACAAACATAAATAATATTAGTTGTTTAAAGAAAATATATTATTTAGAATATTAAATCTACCGGGAAAGTAATTATATGTGTGGGCGGGTACCCATGTGGCGGGTTTACCTAAACCCAAACCCAACCCAACCCGGTGAATAGTGTAGCGGGTTTAAACCCGAACCCGGCCCAAAACCCGTCAACACGGGTTTTACCCGCGTTGACCGGGTTGGATCGGGTGGGTACCCGTGGGTTCGAGTTTTGTTGCCATCCCTAGGGCCAAGGGAACATGGTAATTGACCCATGGAATTTGGGCACTTTCCCACATACGTGGGAATTGAAAATACAGTCCCTCCCCCCGGAATTTCACATTATCACGTTTTAACACTTTTTGTCCCTATAATGACCCTCCTGCTTTATCCCTCTCCAATCCTTTTTTTTTTTTTTTATACTTAGATCAAAATTGCATTAAACCCAGGCAACCAATAGCATAAACACTATGGCGCTCCTCCGAACAACAGTCTGTACAATATTCAGTCAAGAAAAAACTACCCCAAGCCCCGAGCAATGAAGCAATCTAATAAACTCTGATCCAGCATACATCTATACTCAATAACCCATTTGGCCTGCTCCACCAGCTGCAAAGGAGACCGAGCACTAGTTGATCCATACATTCGAGAGCATCGCTCTCGCCAAATCAGACTCAAAACAACACTCCAGGAAAGCCGATTAAGGAGTGCAGAAGCAGAGTTCCCACCCCAGCGAGCAACACACCAGTTCAAAACATCCTGCCAATCTACATATGGCGGCGGCGCAGCAGACTTGTATACCTGCACAAGTACATAACGCACAAACGCACACTGCACAAAAAGATGATTCCGAGTCTCCATCCCACCAGAACACAGCAAGCATAAGCCTGATAGAGACTTCCCCCAGGAGATAAGGCGGTCCTGTAGCTTCAACCTATCCTGGATAATCAACCAAAGAATGAATCCATGACGAGGAATCACTACACTGTCCCAAACCAAATTCACCCAAGGCACAACACTACTCTTCTGACGAAGGGATTGCCAGACCCTTTTGACAGAATATGATTCCATAATCTCACCATCCCACGCTAATCCCCCCTGCAGCAAGGATATAAAAGGCCTAGCCATATCACGACATTTCAAAATCCTCCTCCATATCCAGGAAGCCGCAGAAGAAGGCTTTAATTCCCAAACTGATTTGTGCTTGATTCGATAACGGTGGATCCAGGCCACCCAAAGAGACCCCTGCTCAGCCAGAACTGTCCAAAAATGACGAAGCACACAGGCTTTATTCCAGACTGCAAACCCCCGAATTCCTAAACCCCCTTCCTTCTTAGGCCGAGCAAGAAACTCCCAGGAAACAACAGCCCTTGTTCGAATTGATGATTCGGTTATATCCCATAGGTACTTACTACAGATAGACTCTACTTCCTTAATGACAAGCTGAGGGAGAAGAAAGATCCCCATCCAATATTGCAACACACTAGTCAGAACAGATGTGATAAGTTGTAATCTCCCAGCAAAGCTCAATGTTCTTGCCCTCCAACTTGAAATCTTCGTTGTAATTTTCTCTACTAATACTCGACAGTCTGCCCTAGATAGCTTCCCAGTGATAAGAGGGACTCCCAAATACCTCACATGCAAGTTACCAAGAGGAAACTTTGAATATAAAGATATATACTGCTGTTCAGATGTCGAGATTCCCCCACAAAACAACTGACACTTATCCGGATTACATTTAAGACCAGAGACTTTATAAAAAGCAGCAAGTACCCGACAGATCCCTGCCACCCCCCTTATAGAACCATTAGTAAACACCAGTAAATCATCAGCAAAATACAAGTGGGTAATTGCCAATGGTTTACATCTAGGGTGGGGGGGAATTTGGTTCTGCCTAACTGCTAACTTCAACATGCCATCTAATACTTCCATAGCAACAGTAAACAAATATGGAGACAGGGGATCGCCTTGCCTCAGACCTTTTTTCTTCTCAAAAAACCCACAAACTCCACCATTCATCACAACACTTACTTTAGGAGTACAAACACAAGCTCGCAGCCACTTTATAAACATATAAGGGAGTCCCATCTGACTTAGAACAGTAAACAGGAAATTCCAATCCACGGAATCAAACGCTTTCATAATATCGATTTTCACAGCACATCGTGGGGAAATTTTACTCCTATGATAGTCTTTAACTAACTCTGATGCTAATAAGATATTATCACTTATGGACCGACCTCTAATAAAAGCAGACTGAGATGTAGAGATAAGGCTTGGTAGGACAGAAGCTAACCTGTTGGCCAAAACCTTCGAGATACCTTTATAGATTGTGTTACAGCAGGAAATGGGACGAAAGTCTTTCATTCTCTCAGCGTTTGGAATCTTTGCCACCAGCGTGAAAAGGGTGGAATTCAGAACCTATGGCATAATACCAGAAGAAAAGAAAGCCAGAACAACCTCTTCCACTTCTTTACCAATCAAATCCCAGTGCAATTTAAAAAACTCAGCAGGGAACCCATCAGGGCCTGGAGCCTTGTCTCGCCCCAAATTCTTAAACACCCTACAAACTTCTTCCTTGGTAATGGGAGTAATTAATGAACTAGCTTCCTCCTGAGTAAGAGATTTAAGAGCCAAAGCTTCATAGAAACTAGATGGATGAATAAACACTTCAGGATCAACCTCCCCAATAAGGGTTTTATAGAACTCAACTGCAATCTGCCCCAATTTTTTAATATCAGTCACCTCCTGCCCTTGAGAATTTAACAGACGAGTTACCTGCTGACGGTGAGAATGAATTTTTACAGAGCTATGGAAATATGCAGTGTTCATATCACCCTCCTGGACCCCCTTATGCGAGCTTTCTGCCTGTAAAAACTTTCTTCAGCCTTTTGCAAATTACGACATTTAACAGAGAGCTGCTTCTCTTCCCCCACCAGCACAACATCAGGATTAGCCAATATAGCCAACTGTATAGCCTCCAGTCTACTCTCACAAGCTCTAGTTTGAACAGATATATCAGCATACACTTCTTTATTCATCTTAGCTAGAGCTTGACGAACTTTCTGCAGCTTACCATAAAGAACAAAATATGGGTAGCCAATCACCTTATGTCTCCAAGCAGCAGCCACTAACTCATTATAGCCAGGGTGACTAGTCCAAAACTTGAAATATTTGAATGGTTTGGGAAAGCCCTTCACCTGAGGAGTAACTGTCAGCAATAAACCACTGTGATCCGAGACCCCTGGTGGAGAAGTAACTGCAGTACTAGCCTTAAACACAGATAACCATGCTTCATTGATAAGAATCCTATCCAATCTTTTTGCAATGGGTTTTTCCTCCTGCTTGTTCCACCAAGTAAACCAAGCCCCCATAACTTTATGATCAATCACATTCATATCAGTGATCCAGGCCTTAAAAGAAACCATACTCGAGTTCATAACCAAAAGATTAGAAGTCTCCCCCGGATCAGCAACAGCATTAAAATCTCCCAATATTGCCATTGGAACACTCCCCTCTTGCTGGAGTAAAAGCTCCTTATATAGCACTACCCTATCAGCTTCCTTGTTTGGACTGTATACTACTAATAAAAAGAAAGGATTAGGCCCTCCAACTCTGACCTTAATGAAATGCTGCCCATCATCAACCTTCACTATATCCAGACCTTCTTTCCAGAGCAACCAGACGCGTCCATTAACAGACTTAGGGTAGTTATTTAAATGCTGAAATTGACTGAACTTCTTGAGAATATCAGAACTGTGAGAAGCAACAACTCTAGTTTCTATTAATGCTACTATATCTAACTTCAAACTCCAAAACTTCTTAAGCACAGCAGAGTGCTTATCAGGGGCATTAAACCCCCTGATGTTCCAACACAATACCTTCATTTACCCCGCTTCTTCCCCCTACCCTTACCCCGAGCAGGAGCAATAGGTGGAGGTTCCACAGGACGCTTCAACACAGGACGAATCAGCGAAGGGAATGCCTGATCATCAAGTGAACTCTTACCCGAACTAGTTGACAAACTCCATGGACTTCGAGAGACAGACCCCGGGGCAGGAGCCCTTATTCTATTCCTTCTATGCGTGACCACTTGAAATCCATCATCATTTGCCAATAGCTCTGCACCCTTATCTTGCACTTGAGCAGGAGAAGAAGTAGA